GCTGCTGTAAACACCAGAAATTCCCCATTGTGGGACAATAAAGAGATTTTCTATTCTATATAAAAAAAAAAAAACATGCCCAGTATGCCCAAAAGCTCAGCCAAGATGGTGTCTCTTTAATGTTTGCCTTCATGAACATGGAGAACATGCTTATCATCAGAACTTGCAAAAACCTGGGAAACACAAGCAAACCTGGAACTGGTTGGGGCAGCAGTTTCTCAGTCTATGTTTAGAAGATTTTAAAGTCGGGTCCAAACTCATATGAAAACGGTGCTTATAGGTGCTGGGTTGGAAGTATTACAACAAAGTAATATTAAAGCAACTTTTTATAAAACATCATGAACTGCTAAAAAGAAAACAGCAAAGAAAAAGCTTTTTTTATTGGCTTTTAATCTCACACTGCATCTCATTTTTCCATTTGCCTCCAGTTATTAACGGCCATGTTTCTCAGGTTAACCTGACCAACACTCCAGGCCGCTGCTCTCGTTATCTGAAGCAAATAAACGGATCCAGTGAAACTTAAAGCTGCTTGCTGATAGGCTGCCTTCTGCACGCTGCTGACATCTGCTCCATGTATATAGAAGTGTGCATGTGTAACAGATCTGTTATTAGTAATGCTCAGTTACCACGATCACAAACAGATGCAGGAGAGGTTAGTGCAGCAGATTCTGCAGCTTGTTTGAATTAAAGCTACGGCCTGCTTCACATTCACTGGCATTTTCCTCACAGTGAGCAAAAATGGTGCCTTTTAGAAGAACTGCACCATGTTGAGTGTGAGACTGTGAGTCTGACACACTGATGTAGATCTATCTAAGTAGTTTGGTCCAGTGATGCGGACAGACCGTAACTTGAACCGAGCATGAATGAGCTTCTGCACGCTCATTCGTTCCCCCTGAAGAGCAGATGGGCTGATCTCTCACAGGCACAGTCGCTTAAAAAGGTGAGCTATATTTACAGAAAAACAGCCGCCATTTCTTCAGTGTTTCTTTAGTTAAAAATGTTTTCCTGATTCATTTGGTCAAGCTGTGTGTGGAAACGGCGAGAAGCCATTGAATCGAGTTCCTGTTCCACAGGATAGAGGCTCCAACCACCAAACCTGATCCCTGAACGGCCAGCGGCCGCTGACCTGCTGACCTTACAGTCCCAGAGACGGTGTGGAGCGTTTAAACAGTTAAAGTAAAAACAGAACTCCTCACATCTATGGTCTTACTTTGTTTTATTGTCTTACGTTTAATGGTCTTACATTTATTTATTTTTACTTTAAGGCCATGCCCCATTTCTATCACTTGCACGTTATGGGCCCTAGCACTTGGGTTTGCATGTTTACGTGTAAAGGTAGTATCTACCTATAATGTAAAGAGCTAGGGAGAAGTTCCCTTCAGAGCTAGGGAAAAGTTCCCTTCAGAGCTAGGG